TAAACTGGGACATTCATGCAATTGGGATAAATCACAGATATTCATTTCAGAACGGAAGTTCAGAGAAAGAAGGATAATTTATCAAGACAGTCGAGGTTTCAGTAGTGATTCAAGTTTATCAAATGATAAATTCTTAGTCTTAGGTACAGAAATAGCATCTAAATAGAAGCTATTGGCAGCCAGGCCATCTATTATAAGATGTTCTGTGAGAATCTGATTTTACTGTACTAAGTCAATACCTGACAGAGCCAGGAACAATGTCATAATATGAATTTCCTAAACCCATTTCCTAAAAAAAGGGATTAAAATAAATTATCTTGAATGCCATAATTTGTATTGCAACATTTTCCCCTCAACAAGCCCACATCTATCTTTTTTGTGTCCTGTACTACAATTAATTGTTTTTTTTACAGTCCTTTAATGCCAATTTATCAGGAAGAGTAACATTCTCAATAAGATTTTACTGATCTAGCGTAGTCAGTTATTCATTTTATGTTGAAACATACAGATTGTAATTCTACGGTATTAAATAATTAAAGTAATGCTTCAGGAAAAAAAATGCAATTCCCTCATTATCAAGTGTTCACTTGAAAAATATATCACATTACAATGTTTGTTTTAAATGTTTTTGTTTTGTGGGCATTTGCTCACGAAAAACACTGTCATTACACTTAACAGTATAGCCTTTGAAGCGCTTCGAGACTTCCTCCTGACGTGATACCAAGTGCACAGAATATAATGTTATTACAACACAAAATGACATTTGTATAGTGCCTTTCATGTCGGAAGGACGTCCCAAGCCGCTGGACAGTCAGAGAGTTTTGGACTTGAGCTGGTGGTAGGGATCTGCGAGAGTGGAGGGCGTGGGGGGAGCGGGGAGATCGAAAGTACGGTCAAGGAGGAGGGTCTTGAGATGGGTCTTGAAGGAGGCAAGGGGCGAGGCGGAGGGACTGTGGGATGGAGGTCCAGAGGGTGGGGGCAGAGTGGCAGAAAGTCTGGCCGCCAAAGTTGGGGCGGGCGAGGCAGTGGGACATGAAGCAGGCCGGAGCCCGCTGAACGGAGGGAGTGGGCAGGTTGGTAGGGGGTTATGAGGTCCCAGAGGTAGGGGGGAGCAAGACCATGGCGGGCTTTGAAGGTGAGGACCAGTATCTTGAACTGTATGTACTGATCTACTGGGTCCAGCCTCCTCCACGTCCCCCAAATCCTCTTCTCCAATATCAGCAGCAGTGCCTTCAGCCAATACGCCCTGAAACTTTGGAACTCCCTCCCTCAACCCCTTCAGCCCCTCCTTCCCCATCTTCAGGTCGCACCTGAAGACCTTCCTTTTTGACCACGCCTACGGTCACCTTCCCCTTGGCTTGGGCTCCACCATTGTTAAGTGCTCTGAGACCCCGCCCTGCATGGAGGGCACTATATAAGTGCAAGTTGTTGTTGTTATCCTCTGTGTGATGGGAAGCCAATGGAGTCGAGTGAGGATGGGGGTGATAGGGTCACGGAGCCTGGTGCAGGAGCAGACTCGGGCCTGCAGAGTTCTGGATGATCTGCACCCTATGGAGGGAGGAGTTGGGGAGGCCGACAAGCAAGGAGTTTGCATCGTCAAGCATGGATGTAATGAAGACATGTATGAGGGTTTCAGTGGCCTGCAGTGTGAGCCATCAGGAGAGCCTCGGTCTTGTTGACGTTCAACTGAAGAAAGTTAGCTCTCATCCAGGAATTGATGTCTGACAGACATTCTCTCAGGACAGCAGTGGTCCTGGAGTCAAGGGTGGAGGCAGAGAGGTAGAGTTGGGTGTCATCCACACACATGTGGAAGTTGACCCCATGTGTGCGGATGATATCATCAAGAGGGAGCATATAGATATTGAAGAGGCGGGGACCAAGGGCAGAGCCCTGAGGAATGCCGCGACCACATCACTCCCACCCTCGCTTGCCTTCACTGGCTTCCCATTCCCCAGAGGATCGAATTCAAGATCCTCATCCTCACCTACAAGTCCATTCACGGTCTTGCTCCCTCCTACCTCTCCAACCTACTATCCCCCTTCCTACCTGCCCGTACCCTCTGTTCCTCTGGCTCCAGTCTGCTCCACATTCCCCGCCACAACCACCCTACCATTGGTGGCCGGGCCTTCAGCCTCTCAGCCCCGAGGCGCTGGAACTCCATCCCCCAGTGCCTTCGCCGCCTCCTCCCTTTCCTCCTTCAAGGCCGGTCTCAAGACCTTTCTCTTTGACCGTGCCTTCAGCTCCCCGCTTGACTCTCTACCCCCTCCTCACTCCCTCCCTTCTCTCCCCCTGACCATTTCCCCCCTGCTCGGGTCCTGACCCAACTGTCCAGCGCCTTGGGACGTCCTCCCGACGTGAAAGGCGCTCTATAAATGGAACCTTGTTGTTGTTGCACAAGACGGTGCGGGGGCTAGAGGAGAAACCATTAGTGGAGTTGAAGTGGAGGCGGTGTGAGAGGTACGATCTGAACCAGTCAAAGACAGAACCATGAGGGTTGAGGTGAGAGGAGAATCGGTGGATGAGGATAGAGTGGTCAACAGTGTCAATAATTATTATTGTATACAGGACACAATGTCAAGAAACTTTGATAGTAACAACAACAACAAAAGTAAGTGAGAAAAGAATCTGTGTGTTGAGTTAAGGCTCACTATAATAATTTAGGTGTGGCTGATAGTGAAAATGAACATCAACGCTTGTGTACAAACGATGATGTTTGTAACAAAATGATCTCACAGAAAAAACAGAACAGAGAAATCTGTCAGCAGTAGCCACTGAAGTGTTATGTTTGTGTGATGAGCCGTATTACTTGATAGCATTCTTGCCTCTGAGTCAGAAAAGACCCATGTTTGGACTTTGAATTTATAGTCCACACTGACACTTCAGTGTAGGGCTTGGGGGAGTACTACATTGTCTGAGGTGTCATCCTTTGACATAAAACAAACTGAGATCCAGTCTACTTGTTCAAATAGATGTTAAAAGATCCCATAGCACTATTTGAAAAGACAAGGATGTTTCTCCCAGTATCCTGGCTAATAATCCTCTAGATTAAAAAAATGGATTTCACTTAACGGCTATTTTTGGGTCATTGCTGCGTGCAAAATGTCCATCATTTTGTTCGCCTAGAAATACACAATCAGTAGTTTACAGGGAATTCTGAAATTCGTTGAGATGATCTGACTGATAAGGAGAAGTAGATATTGTCAAATGCAAGGATTATTATTATTTATACTGTATACAATAAACCCATCATAAATTGTGAATATAGTCATCTTCCTATTTCCTGTCTATGACAAGAAAGGGTCAGTTGTACAAAATAAACTGTTTGCAAATATATTACTTTTAATTGCCCTTTTAAAATAAAAAATAATGGATGGTAACATAGTAATAGATCCAGGCTGGGGAAGACCATTAGTCCATTCATTCAACTTTTCAAATGATTCTTTAAAAGCGTCTATTTCAGCACCTTGGGACGTCCTCCCAACGTGAAAGGTGCTGTACAAAAGTAATCTTGTTGTTGTTGTCTTGTATTTAATCTGCTACACCTCTGCTAGCAATAAGTTAGATGCTTCTATTTTTCTCACCAAGTAGAAGAGGTGTAACATAGCAGAAAGACTACTGTGATGCAAGCTTATTGAGCCAATGATGCGTACAAGATTAGATACAATATAGTTTTTCAGCAGTGGATGACCAGAAATAAATTATTAAGTTTAGATTCAAAAGTTAATTACATTTCTATTATGCTACCTTTATGACCTGTAGTACAACCAATTTAATGGCATTCTATTCTATTAGCAGTCTTGTCCAAAGTACTGTTTGTTTTAATTCTGAGTTGCCTCATGACTTCAGCAAATGTGGCACAGCGCATATTATTATTTATAAATCATCAATTAAAAATAGCAACCACAAGAGGTTCATTCACTCTCTAGATTTCTAATACAGTTTAATAGCCACCACTGTACTGTAGGATTCACTTTTCACATTCTATTGATTTGATTGAATCGAATTTGACGATTGTTAATTTTTGAAATGCTAAGCAGCCTTTTTCCCAGAATGTTTTTAGCAAAGAAAACACTTCTATTGATTGAAGTAAAGTGAAAACAAACCGTTGAATTTTTATAATGATTTGTATTTAAGGTTCAACTTTGAGTTAGGTCAGGGTGGTCTAATCTTTTGACTGCTGAGGGCTGGATGCTGGATTTGAGAAACGCCTGCACGCCAGATAAGCAATATTTTTGGGTTTCCCTTCCATAAACATAACTGTACAGAGATTGAGGGTCGCGGACATTGGGCGAAGGGAGGGGGTGTAGCAGAGTATCAGAGCCACGGATACTGGGCCCATATATGGTTCGCGGGTCGGATGCAATCACCCCCCCCCCCCCCCCCCGCCACCAGTTGGACCAACCTGAGTTAAGTTATTGTATGAACATTCAAAAAACAAACCTTTGCAGCATTAACTAAAACCATTGGGGGTCAATTTAGTTATATATATGGCAACCCCATTTCAGACCTGCTGGCTGCATCCAATGTCATCAGTTCTTTAAGAGCAGGCATGCCTTATAACAAGGAGTGGAAGGACATTTTAATGGGGTTGCACTCTATTCAATATTTATTACAATGAATGTCCCCTGATGGACATTCCCCATGCCATTCTTAATAACAATATCTGTGTAGTCGGGGTGTGGGATTGGACTTCTAGCTTATGACATTTGATCAGCAGTTTGTGGCTTTCTATTGAACAATAAACTCAAATAATCAGTAACCACCAAACTGGTAGTTGAATAATGCAATCCAGAAGTCTTAATTTCAAAGAGCCAGATTCAATGACGTTGACGTTGAAAAAAAACAAAGGGGGCTCCATGTCTGATACACACATTCAGTGGTATAAATATCTGACGAATCACTAAATTGACCCCTTTGTCAGTTGCTATCAACTCTGCATCTTACATTTATTAATTCATATGCAAGATTAGAGATGCTGGCAGTGAGCTGTAAGACAGCAATTCAATCAAACAGGTTTAATGAAGCTCAAGTGGTTCATACATGGCTGCACAAGCTGCCCTCTGCCCCTCCATCGAAAATACTGCCATAAAAAGTACCTGCAGCAAGAAGCAATCTTTTTTAATTATAGTACACTTAAAACGTTTGTGTATTTGATTACATTTCTTGTTTTTAAATTACTTTTGAACATATGAGGCAAAAATATTCATACAGCACATTGATATAGGTTTTAAAAAATAAATGTCCTATTTGAATACCACTTTTTTCAAGTAATTGCATTGATGCAAATGTATACATCATATATTTAAATAAAAGCATTATAGACGTAACTATTACAGGTCAGAGTAACAGCAAGAACAGCAAAAGAAGGCCGAAAAGTATGACTGGTCATGTAGGATAATTAGGTTTTTATTTCAAGTACCAGAAAATATCCTATATGGTAAATAGAAACAATTTTACATTTATTGTTTTGATGTACGTAAACTCAATGTGTTGATGTTTTAATGCTGGGAGCTGGGATTCTTCCTACTTGACTCCCATTAACCCTGCAACAACTTTATACAGTGTCCTTCATGTAGAGTAATATCTGAGAATTCTGGGGTATGTTTGGAGTTAAGCAAAGGAGAGAGAGGGAGAGATGGCCATTAGTGGGATTGATGAGGTAAGAACTGAGGCTGGATTTCCACAGAGAGAGGGAAACACAGAATGTAGAGGAAAGGGGTTCCAGAGGTTACGATCTGAAGGCCAGGCCAACTATGGCGGCACAGACAGGGCAAGGGTCACACAGCAAACCTGAGCTAGCTGAGTGGAGGGGTGAATAGAGCCACAGGGTAGTAGAAATTGTGGCTCAGTTGTGAGTTGGGAGGTGTTCTAATGGTAAAAGCAATAGCCACGTACTCATATGTCAATGCTTCTATTTTATCCTGCTTGGGGTCGAGGTAAGTAGAATATCCTTGGTGCTGTACTGACTCCAAGGTGACATGTTTGGCAACAGAATATCAGATCGAGCCAACCTTCTGTGACGGTCTCGGTGGTCCAGTTCCTGAGTCAGGCAGGTCTACAGTAATCGAGGGCACTGCTGTCATCAGCCCAGCCAGCTTGTCTCATCGCCAGGACTTGGAAGAACAGACAAGTCATTGGAGGCAGGGACTCCTCCCATACTCAGCTCCTGTTAACTCTTCAAGCCAAAGCACTAAAAGATAAAGAGTGGTCAAGCAGAGGAAAACCTTGCCAGACAGTGCTTTCAATGGCAAGCTATGTGGTTTTAGCTGGTTAGACTCCAGCAGTATTCCAAAACATACTCCGGAATTTGTAAGCCTCGGTTCTTGCCCACTTGCGCATAATACTTTCCGGAATTAGCTAAGCAGGATGCGTCCTCCGGGGAAAGAGTTTGCATTCAATTCCAATAAATACCTTGGGAATTTCCATATATAGGCGGAATGTATGGAACTCTCAGTTTGGTTTGGATCCTCTTAAGAGTGGTAATAAGTTTCTGTTTGTGTCAGATACCCAACTGACCAAAAAAGCTACAATTTTGACAGCAGCATCAGTGAAGAATGAGAACGTAAATTGCAGTGCTACTCCCACTAGTATATTGTGTGAAGCTTATGTTTTCCTTTTTAAAATTTCTTGACAACCACATCATCTTTCCTGAACTCACAAGAGACAGGGAGGAAAAGTGTGATGAACACTTGTAGTCTCAGTTTGTATGCGGAGCACACAATTTCATTCTACAATGGTATCATATACTCACTGTTCTCAAGGGAACCACAAGAGTTTATCATAACAACTTATCAGAACATATTTTTAATATTACTTTTCCCAGGAAACAAAGTTAGGTTTTATGTCAGTTCAAAGAAAAATATATATATTAAAATCAGGCCAAATATCTGATAAATATATTTATATATTCCCTAAAGCAGAATAAGCCCTTGAAGGTCTTCACATTGTAATTGAGTGTAAAACATTTAAACAAGATTCAGCATTGATGGCTGCCAGTATTTCTGATACCTAGATAATGTTGGCAGCCACATGAACTACGTGAGGGAGTGTTTTTCCCTATTCTGCCTAATGAAATTGAACCGTTCAGCGATAGGGAACCAGGGGAGCCTGGCTAGAACTGGTGTGATAGGGGTACGGAGTTTAGTACTGGTGAGTATGCGGGTGGCGGAGTTTTGGATAAGCTCGATCTTATGGATGGTGGAGCTGAGGAAACCAGCGAGGAGGGCATTTGAAAAGTCGAGTCGGGCAGTGACAAACACATGGATGTGTGTTTTATGTTTTTTTTAAATTAGTGAGTGTGTTCTATAAGTAATTTTGCATTTCTGCAAAAGAACTTTAAACTTTTTAACACAATTCAGTTGTTTAAAACAATTAATCATCTCTGGAGGACATTAGCTTTGCTCCTTTCAGATCTTGGTGCATTTAATATTATTGTTTTTTTATACTGTAATGTAAACATAGGATCTTCTTTAATCAAGGAACTTCCAATTTAAATGGTAATCTTCAAATCCATTCACTCCCTTGGCACCTCCCTACCTCTCCGACCACCTCATTCTCCAATCCACCACCCGGCACCTCTGCTCAACAGGCAACAGCCTTCTGCTCGTCCCTTGCACCCTCCACCCCACCATCGGAGGTCGCGCTTTCAGACACTATGCCCAAAACTCTGGAACATTCTCCCTCAATCCCGCTGCCTTGCCCCCTCTCTCCCTTCTTTGAAGTCCCGCCTGAAAACTTTCCTTTTCAACCATGCTTATGGTCACCTCCCCGGCTCCAGCTCAGTGTCAGGCTCCGCCACTGTTAAGCGCTCTGAGACGCTACCCTGTGTGGAAGGCTCTACATAAGTGCAAGTTGTTGTTGTTACTCAGGGAGCAACATGCCCACATAAGTCAAATCAGCACAATAATTGTTGTAAGATAATTCATTACCCTCTCAAGTACATGTGCATGCATATGCATGTACATGTTGTCCAATATAAGCACAGATTGCAAAATTGAACAGGATAAGGATTCCACCTAGGAACATTAGAATAAGATAATATTGAAAAACTTGCAAATTATAACAATAGCAATTATAAAGTTTGATGAAAATCCAGCAAGCTTTTTTAAAAAAAATTACTATAGTGAAGTGTTGCATGCTGCAAATCTACTAAAGCTTTTTAAATTGCATAGAACCCGCTGAATTGTTAGCACAGCATTTGAAGGTACTCAAGTTACAACAAGTTCCCTTGTGACACACTGCATTTCAAGACGCAGAATTACTTTACACCTTTCTTCAACTTGAATGACAGCAGTGAACTTTAATTACAGCATGGATACCACAGGAGTATTGTACTGGTGCCACAGTAAAAATTCTCAGTCTTTTTCAAGCAACAGCCTGGCTCTACTTTGTTAGTTTTAGGCAATAATCAGTAACTCCTTTTTACCTCCTATACTGATTGGGCCAGAATAAATATTGAATCCTTCTCTATCATGGATGACGTTGCATAACTTGATCATCATATCACTGGAAGGACTGTGTACATCAATTGGCCAGAAGCTCAGCTGATTGCATGTAAATTTTCCTCATCTCTGGCTTCTTATATTGCTGGAAGGAATTGCAGTGAATGTAATTTTTGTCAGCCTGGAACAGTGGTAGCACTCTCACCTGAGTCAGAAGGCTGTAGTCTTAAGCTGCATGGTGGGACTTGGAAATCAAATTTGAGAAAGAGAAGGGAGTGTTCTGACAAACAATCCCCCAGGTACAATTCATCACTCACTCCATGGCTGTTTATGGGACACTGTTGTGCACAACTTGGCTGCTGCATTTTGCCCACAAAATACACAAACAATGCACTTTATAGAATTTCCTGTGAAGCGCTTTGAGATGTTTCAACAAAATAAGTAATATCAAATGTAAGGATAACTAAATATCTCAAAGCATTTCACAGAATATATTGTAAAGTGGATTGACTGTATTTTGTGGATGAAACGCGGCAGCGACTTATTTGCAGCAGTTCCCCACAAACAATGTGGATTGAGTGACAAATTTTTTTTAGAGACGATTATAGAGCTGAGAGATGATTATAGAGCATGAAGCAGATTTATATTTCCCACTTCAATATCAAGGAAGAAATCTATAATTGTATAGTTATTTGCACTTGTAGTTAATCAGCACAATAATTTTGATCATCACCATGTCACCCACTTCCATCTTCATCTACTCCCAATGCAACTGAAACCTTATCATTGCCTCAAGTTCCAGATCATACTAAATTCAGCCACTCTTATACCTGCTAAGCTTCTTAACACATCATTCCTGTCTTTGCCTGGCTCCACAGTCTCCCTTTCGCGTAGAAAATTGACTTAAAAGATCTGGACTGTCAGCTACAAATCGCTTCACGCCCTGTGACCTTTTCCTGCCACATTCTCCTGTGCCCTATTCTGCTCAGCAAACCTCTGCCCCACCATGAGCAGCAGAGCCTTTAGTCACTATGCCCTTACCCTCTGGAATTCCCTCCCTAAAATTGCCCATAACCTCCCTTGTGGCAGAGAACACAGCATCTTCTGATCCAAAGTCTAATGCTCACTAACTGAGCGAATGTGCTATTATTTTCATTAATGTTCCAGAATGAAATCTGAACCATGACCCACTCTGTCTTCCCCCACCTCCACAATGTCGTCTGGTTCCGACACTGTCTCACACCGCAGGCCGCCGAAACCTTCATACATACTTTCATTACATTAAGGCTTGACTATGCAAATTCATTGCTTGTCGCCTCCCCAACTCCTCCCTCCACAGGCTGCAGATCATCCAGAACTCTGCAGCCCGTGTCCTCTCCCACACTAGGCTCCGTGACCCTATCACCCTCATCCTTGCCCAACTCCATTGGCTTCCCATCACACAGAGGATACAGTTCAAGATCCTGATCTTCACCTTTAAAGCCCTCCATAGTCTTGCTCCCCCCTACTTCTGTGACCTCCTAACCCCTCCTGTTCGCTCCCTCCACTCAGTGGGCTCCGGCCTGCTTCACGTACCCCACCTTGCTCGTTCCACTATTGGCGGGCGGACCTTCTACCACCATGCACGCAGCCACCCTCTGCAACTCCATCCCACAGTCCCTCCGTCTCGCCCCCTCCAAGACCTACCTCAAAACCCTCCTCTTCGACTGCGCTTTTGATATCCCTGCTTCCCCCTCCCCTCCACCCTTCCCCACCCCAACCCCCAGCTCGGGTCCATAACTCTGTTTGTCCAGGGCCTTGGGACATCCTCCTGACGTAAAAGGCACTATACAAATGTAATTTTGTTGTTGTTGTTGAACAAATCAAAATATAATTCCTATCACCTGTACAGTACTATCATTTACATGGACTCACTGGTTGTACACGGTGTAGATTGCAGCTACACATTTCACACAACCTGCAGACTGACCTAAATTTCTAGCTAATGTGTAATACAGATGCTACAATTCACCATTCCACAGCTAAACATTGAGGCTGCAGAATTGCAGAGACAGTTATTTGATTATAATCTTGCATTTAATATAGTGCCTTTCACATCAGGAGAAATATCAGAGCACTTTACAGCATTTACTATAAAGTATAGTGACTGTGTATCTGGCAGGCAAATGCAGCTACTAATTTGATCATAGCAGTATTCCACAAATAGCCATGATGCAAATGCCCAATTTTATTTGGGGGATTGTTTACCAGGACATCAACAATCAATATATGGACAATGATCTATCAACAGAGTAGAAAAATTGGAAAATGGTTTGGATAACAGGTGTCTGATATTGTGGAAACCCATCAACATGGAGTCCTGATGCTCAGTGGTTAGAGCACTCGCTTTGCAAGTGAGAGACCTGGGTTCGATTCCCGGCAGGGTGAAACCTTGGGCAAGTTTCCTTACTCCACATGCCTGATAATAATCCCTCAAAAAAAAAATTGGTCATTTCAACCCACGACTGTTTGTGGGACACTGCTGTGCGCAATTGGCTGCCGCATTTCACGCACAAATATGCAGTCAATTCACTTTACAGTCTATTCTGTGAAGCACTTTGAGACGTCTAGAAGACGTGAAACGCACTATATCAAATGCAAGGATTATTATTATTATTAAGATTATCTGAACCAGAGTTCCACATATATGCATCAGCTCTACATGGAAATTTCCCTATCTGGAATGGAATGCACACTCTGCCCTGAGGGATGCACACTGTTTATGGTGAGGCTTAGTTCCAAGTGGGTGAGAGTCAAGGTTAGGGGAGAGTGTATTTGGCAATATTCAAATATACACCTACATATACAGTATATACAAAACAATACAGAAATGAAAACAATTTGCATTTATATAGTGCCCTTCACACAGGATGGCATCTCAGAGCGCTTAACAGTGGTGGAGCCCGATGGGGGAGGGGGAAGGTGGCCGTAGGCACGGCCAAAGAGGAAGGTCTTCCAAGTGCGACTTGAAAATGGGGAGAGGGCGCAAGGCAAAGAGATTGAGCGAGAGGGTTCCACAGCATCAGGGCGCAGTGACTGAAAGTACTAATGGTGGGGCGGAGGGTCTGGTGGGACAAGGAGGAGGCTGGAGCCAGTTGTGCGGAAGCAGCGGGTAGTAGTGTAATATATATATCAGTGCAGTTATATCTTTAGTTAATTTAGGCATAGCGATCAATCATATAGAACCATAGAATACTATACCACAGAAATAGGCCATTGGATCAATAACATATGTACTGGTGTTTATTGAATAGTGCATCTGAATAATCTTTAACGTCCATCTGAACAGGCTGATGGGACTTGAAGAACTTGCATATTTATAGCACCTATAATTTAAATGCATTAAAATGCTTCAAACTAATTATTGTTAAGTAGAATGACTGTTTCTTTTTGTAGACACATGGCACTTTGTGTACTGTAAAGAATCACAAATATCCATGAGGTGTATGGGCAATTAATCTGAAGGACTCTGAAACTCCCTACTCTTTTTGAATACAGTACAATAGTTCCATGGGATTAACATCTAGAGCATGATTAAGATTGAAGTTAAAAGAACCCAGGGAGTCTGCTAGACTGCCTTGAAGTTCCCATTATATAAAAGTTGACTATGTCACTCTTTTGTAACATCAAAAACGCCATAGGCAATCAGAATCTATTGCAGTGAGCTTTCCTTGACTAGGGAACAAACAGTATAATTCAGTGTTGACCATTTTCCCACTGTTCCAAAGGTTGTTACCGGATCAGATAACTGCAAAAGCACTAAATAGCACTACAAGTGGGATATAAATTACAGCTCACAGTTGCTCATATACCTTTTCTTCCACCACATACCAATAAATAATTACAATTGAAATTGTGTCTGCTACAATCCCAAGACTGGCTTCAGTGACGCCAATATAAATAAACTCCAACCTCACTCGGTTTTCTGATGTGAAATTCTGAAGTGTGCAACAAAGTTGCTGAAAATGAAAGTCATATTTTTGGTTATGAGATTGACCTTAATTCAACGGATCATTTTGTTGCTCATATTGCTGGTCGTTGTCAGGGGGGCAAGTTACAAGTGCAACTCAGCAGCCATCCTTCAATGTAATCCTTCAGCCAGATTTATTAGAGACGCTGCAACCAGATTTATTGGAGACGTATGTATGTATAGTGAAGGGGTTGTGGAAAAGCCATCACTGAGTTCCAGTTGAGTGAAATTCACGGTTCAGAGGACGGGAAGGGTTTCAGTGCAGAATCACGCAGGGCCTCGCTCCAGGCTTCAGCTGTGTCTGAAGGCTGACACACAGTTACACACACGCACGCACGCAGAGAAAAAAAATGATGTATTTTGTGCTCTAAGAAAAAAAAAGATGTCGTCGAACCGGTTGTACACTGGAACTCACAGGAACCGTGTGCGCTCATGAGGTGGAACCAGTCTCTCTTCCCAACCATGTCTGCAGTCTGTCTATGATTACAGTGGTGAGACATCACCTTGTTGACGAGTATCAACAAGATCATAATAATCCCTCCAAAAAAACCAAAAAACAAGAATAAAAAAAAATTGGTCATTTTCAATCCACGACTGTTTGTGGGACATTGCTGTGCGCAATTGGCTGCCGCGTTCGCCCACAAATATACAGTCAATTCACTTTACAGTGTGTTCTGTGAAGCGCTTTGGGACGTCCTCCCGACGTGAAAAGCGCTATATCAAATGCAAGGATTATTATTATTATTATTATTAGTTCTGCGTCTCGGGCGTCGGTTACACACCTGAGCCGACGTGCGGCTCAGCGCCGCGGCCCCGGGGAGTGCTTCTCGGCGTCTCTGGGAGTGAGGTGAAGGCAAGTGCGGGGGGGGGGGGGGAGGCCGTTATTTATTATGGGTTTAAAGTTAGCGTTATTACCTTTCAGTCTGTTGAACTCGTTAACTCTAATTTCCTCTGGGCTGCCTCCATACCCACAGCGGTCAAGTTCAAGTCTACTTTCAACGCAGTCTAAACCGCTCAACTCGCTCGGCGTCCCGCCGCCCTCCATGTGCCCGGTCACCTCCAAGTGTCCGGTCGGCACTGAGGCCGCGGAGGGGCTGTTAATCATTTACTGTTAACTCAACTGCAGCTTCAGTGAGGGCTCAGTCAGTCAGTCAGTCAGTCAGTCACTACGCGGCCGCGGGGCTCAGCGCCTTCGTTACACAGCGACACCCCAACCGATTTCTTCCGAGGTCAGAGCGCATCGTGCGCAGGCGCAACATGGCGCCGGGGCGCCGCCCGCGCTCACAGAGACCCGCGGGGGGGAGGGGGAGGGGCTTCGCTGGCGGGTGACCAGGGCCTCGCGCAGTGACGGTTGGGGTGGTCTGTCCGGGTCCGGGGTCGGGCCTCAGTGACAGAGAGAGCTGCTGAGCAGCGCCAGGAGGGCAGCGCCAGACAGGGGTGAGTGGGCAGGAGGGCAGGGCCAGGGTGAGTTGGCAGGAGGGGAGGGCCAGGGTGAGTGGGCAGGAGGGCAGCGCCAGACAGGGGTGAGTGGGCAGGAGGGCAGCGCCAGACAGGGGTGAGTGGGCAGGAGGGCAGCGCCAGACAGGGGTGAGTGGGCAGGAGGGCAGCGCCAGACAGGGGTGAGTGGGCAGGAGGGCAGCGCCAGACAGGGGTGAGTGGGCAGGAGGGCAGCGCCAGACAGGGGTGAGTGGGCAGGAGGGCAGCGCCAGACAGGGTGAGTGGGCAGGAGGGCAGCGCCAGGGGTGAGTGGGCAGGAGGGCAGCGCCAGACAGGGGTGAGTGGGCAGGAGGGGAGGGCCAGGGTGAGTTGGCAGGAGGGGAGGGCCAGGGTGAGTGGGCAAGAGGGCAGCGCCAGGGGTGAGTGGGCAGGAGGGCAGGGCCAGGGGTGAGTGGGCAGGAGGGCAGGGCCAGGGGTGAGTGGGCAGGAGGGCAGGGCCAGGGGTGAGTGGGCAGGAGGGCAGGGCCAGGGTGAGTGGGCAGGAGGGCAGGGCCAGGGTGAGTGGGCAGGAGGGCAGGGCCAGGGGTGAGTTGGCAGGAGGGGAGGGCCAGGGGTGAGTGGGCAGGAGGGGAGGGCCAGGGGTGAGTGGGCAGGAGGGCAGGGCCAGGGGTGAGTGGGCAGGAGGGGAGGGCCAGGGGTGAGTGGGCAGGAGGGCAGGGCCAGGGTGAGTTGGCAGGAGGGGAGGGCCAGGGTGAGTGGGCAGGAGGGCAGGGCCAGGGGTGAGTTGGCAGGAGGGCAGGGCCAGGGGTGAGTTGGCAGGAGGGCAGGGCCAGGGTGAGTTGGCGGGTGTGTGGCCTGGACCTGTAAGATCCTCACAGTCCTCCATCTCCTCCCTCCCTCCCTCAGAGCAGCTTTCGGGAACTCAGCACCGATGCCGCCCGCACCAGCTGCCTTGCTGTTGTCAAGGCGCCTCCGTGCGGAGCCCACCTTCTCACCACTGGATTGGGTCATTAAAGGCCTTCAATCTGACCCACGCCTCCCACCAGCTCTTCTCCAACCCGGATAGACAGACCTCTGCAACTGCCCGTGTGGTCAGATGCCAACTCCACGTAACGCTCCCTCCAGACCCCAAGGACACCGACATGGGTCTGTTGTACAACACCGGACTTGATCAATGCTGCTACAAGCCCAGAGGGGCCCCTCCGGCCATGGCCGGCAGACTTCAGCCAGGGAAAGAAAGATTTGGGATGGTTTATGTTCTCATTAGGTGATAGAAATAAGGAAGGCCTTTTCGGCCATTTGATTGTATATAACCAGAATGCCCACCCTATGGTCTTTCCATTACAAAATCGAGCTGTTTCCCATTTTCCTTTGGTGAGTTTCAGTTGCCACTGGGAATTAATTCTCCACCAGACCAGGACTTATTTGATCGAAAATATCCTTTAATAAACAATTTTCGGTGACAAACACTGTTAATTTTTTTAACCTTTATGTTTTTAACTTCTTTACGTAGGTGGTACCCAGATATGGCAGTCTCAATGTGTGTTGGATACTCTTAAGCATGGTAACTGAATGTGGTCAAGACGGAAACCATACTTGGCTCCCGTCAATGTCTTCACTTAGGCTAACAGGAAACAATCAACTTCAAATTGAAATACATTTATTTTAAAGATAAAATAAAGACAGCTGAACAAAATCCCCAAATAAATAATGGAGTCAGAACAGAGTAAAATCATAGAAGGCCATACAGCTCCATCCGAGCTAGAGCAAACCAGAGCAAGAGAGCAATTCATTCAGTCCCATTTATCTGCTGTTTCCCCATATCCCTGGAAATTATTGTATCTAAACATTTTCCCACTACCATGAATATATTTTATAAAAAATTTGATCAAAATATTGAAGCATTGAATAGCAGAGCTAAATTTTAGAAAGAACCCCTGGGGCTTTTGCATTAAAATATATTTTAATTCCTACCGACATTACATGAATTTACCTGGCTCTGAATTATTTATTTTATCTCATAATTTTACTCCTTGGATAATCTGGGACAGACCATTCCTTTCTCGAAAAGGATTCTAATAGGCCATTTCTCCTTCACCCCAGTGTAATTGATAGCCACCAGGTGCTTCATGACTAACCAATGCTATTACCATGTTCATTCTTGTAATTTTTTGATGTTTCTCAAACAGCTGTCATGAGTCATGACTAATCCACACATTATTCCTGGACCACTGTAAATCCCAAATTATTTGATTGTTCCATTGAATTGTGTGTGGTATTCAGTTGTTCATTTTCGTTTGTCAGTACCATAGTCTTCGAAGAGATATTGAATATGTTCTATGACTTTCAGTAGATTTTAAATTTCAGCCACAATATGCAAGTAGTTTTGTGGATTTTTTTGTTCAAACTGGATTATTTCAAATTCTAACATTATTTAGCTGGAATGAAAAGTATGAATCATGTACTATTATTACATCTGCTCGAAACATAGGAACCAATATTTATTTATAAACTTTTAGTGAGTTCCAACGTTTGCACTCAGATTTCCTATTATTAAAATCATAATATGCTTTAGAATTCTACTGGAGATATTATAGAAGGTGGCTGTCAGTTGGATATCACATAATATTAGATGTTGGTCTTTCTAATGATTAGTTACAAAACTCCCAGGGATATGTCTATTTATGGTATTTTATTCAACAAAGCATTTCAAGCCATCATTAAATGTCTAGACATTTATGTCTAGAGGAGAGCACAATTTCATCTTGGATATTGATTTTGCTACCAGCAATATACCATATTTCACTAATACATAATATGTCAAAGTAATATCTCTTCAACTCAACCAGTGGTTCTTGAATGATTCTTCTGAGATCATGTGTATGAGTATATCCCATACTGCAATTCCGGTGATCATCTGGGAAGAGTAAAAACTTTTAGGTGAATAACTTTGAAGAAGGCTTTGACCACATCCAGTATCAATAACAGAATTGCAGGCCTTAAATACTTCATTTCAATTTTGACAGAATTTTAAATAGTTTACAAAGGAAAATGAATTTATAAAACTGCAGTGCTGAAATGATATATCACTGCTGTGGATACCGAAGATCCTCACCTTTGACAACCAATCTACCTTAGTTAAACACTACTACTGTATTGTCTACTTATCACTGGTTGGCAAAGTCCACAAAGTTACCATCTTTGCCTTTGGCATAACTTAAAATATTTCTGAAATATGTGAACTTCCAGGGTCAAAACATTATTCACAGTACTGATTAAACATTTATGATCTGGTCATTGCCAACTGACATAGCACAGTATCTTTGTTAAATACCTAATCTGCAGAGCAGTAAGCGCTGGATTTATACTTATGACACCTCTTGATATCAACTGCTGTACATGTCAGGAGTTTGGCAAAGCAAATTGCTTTACCAAAGAAAGATAAAATCACACCTGACCTACATTGTGCTGGTATTGTCCCAGTGACCAGCTACAGTTCAGTATTTGTGAAACCTAGGTTGGCTATCCACTCCTAGTCAGGATATGATGTTTACTTCAGGAAGGCCCCAAATTATGTGTGGGAGAGAAAAAGAAACATTTTTCAATAAATGAGTGGCATACCTTAGTACTGTTCATTATTTCCAAAATTTACAATAATCTTTGCATTTGATGTAGCACCTAAGGTTTACAGACAAATGTAGGCAGAATTGTTCAGTGGACGAATAATAAGTTATATTTAACAGATCAATTAATAAACTCACACCAGAAAGACTGACCTTCAAATTCACCCTCGCTGGAAGTTTGTAAACTCCCAAAACCAATTTTGAGTCAATTATAAATAACCCCAAAGTCCATGAATTTACAAACTAACAATATCAAAAAGATTTGCTTAAGATGTCAAGCCTTAAGATTGTAGTAGCAACAACAGTGACTGTGGCTTAAGTCAGACTTCCACATGTATCCCAGGAACACAAATACTGCTGTAGCTGTACCTCAACAAGCAATTAAAAGGTCATTGACCAATGAATCATGACACACTTTAACTGTAGAAGTGTTGCAACTAGACTGTGGTCACCAAACCTTTGATCCGTGTTTGCAAACATGTAAATAGTTTAAAAAAATATTTTCTAAATAAACCAGCTTTGCTTGAACATATGTACATTAAATAGGTGAATGATTCTAACTTCATGTATCTCTGCTCCTAGCAACCATCAGGATGAAATTTGCGAGACATCTGTTCTTATTACAGTTCCTTCTATCTGTACCCTGTTGTTATGCCACCTAACATTTGAAAATAAAGCTGCTGAAGTACATTTTGTCTTTGAATACAGAAAAACTGGGCATCTGTTCATCTATTATGTTGAGGCCACAGACACACGATCACATAGACAGACAAACAGACAGACGTAAATAGAGGGGGAATATAATAGAATAATCCTATTACTCTGTAATTACTGATTATATAGCAAATATGCTGATGTGCAAAATATTTATTGAGAAAAATAACTGAAATTACTTTTTTCCCTCAAACTCAAAATGGACCACTGGTCACCAGATTACTCACAATGAAGACATAGCATATGGTTCCCAAAGCCTATGCACCTCTCAAAATACTTCACAGGCATTCTGATTTAGGTTGTTAGACTGCAAAATTTAAGTGCTTTTTTCATTCTTCAACCAATTACCTTCATCTCCAGCCTTTTTGACTTATTGGGTAACCATCAACTCTTCTCGGTAGGCTCCTTTTTTAAATGTCTATTTATCTATTTACTAGCTGTACCTGTTGCAGCTACGCTCGCAACCAAAGGATCCAATATAGAATGTAGATTTCAGTAATACCACTCACAAACCATTTACAACAACAAGATTACATTTGTATAACGCCCACAGCATGGAAACAGCCCTGGTTAAAGTAACTAGTGACATTCTGAACATCTGTGATCAGGGCTCCCTCTGCCTCCTTGTCCTCCTCGACCTCTCTGCTGCCTTCGACACTGTCGACCACTCCATCTTCATGCACTGCCTCTCCTCCTTACTTAATCTTCGCGGACCTGCCCTTGTCTGGTTCGATTCCTATTTCTCTCACCGTCTCCACTTTGTTGCCTCTAACGGTTTCTCCTCCAGCCCCCTCACGGTCATGTCTGGGGTCCCCCAGGGCTCTGTCCTTGGCCCTCTCCTCTTTAATATCTACGTGCTCCCCCTTGGTGACATCATCCGCAGACATGGGGTCAACTTCCATATGTTTGCGGATGACACCCAACTCTATGTTTCTGCCTCCACCCTCAACTCCAGGACCACTGCTGTCCTGACAGACTGTCTGTCGGACATCAAGTCCTGGATGAGGGCAAATTTCCTACAGTTGAATGTGAACAAGACTGAGGCCCTCCTGATTGGCTCGGGCCAGCGCCTCAGCACCTCAGGCTCTGGCAACATCAACCTCCATGGTTGCACACTTCAACTCACCAGCCAGTCAGGGACCTGGTGTCTTGTTCGACGCTCAACTGTTTTTACTTCCCCACACCCAAGCCATGACCCACTCTGCCTTCCCTCACCTCCGTAACATTGCCCGACTCCGCCACTACCTCACCCCTCAGGCCGCTGAAACTCTTGTTCATGCCTTCATCACCTCCAGGCTCGACTATGCAAATGCCCTATTTATCGGCCTTCCCAACTCCTCCCTCCACAGGCTGCAGATAATCCAGAACTCTGTAGCCTGTGACCTCTCCCGCACCAAACTCCGTGACACCATCTCCCCCATTCTCGCCCGATTCCATTGGCTCCCTATCTTTCAGAGGATCCAGTTCAAGATCCTGGTCCTCACCTACAAAGCCCCCCACGGCCTCGTCTCACCCTACCTCTGTGACCTCCTAATCCCCTATCAACCCGCCCGCTCCCTCTGCTCAGCCAACTCTGGCCTGCTTCACGTTCCCTGACCACCCACCCCACCATTGGCGGGAGAGCCTTCAGCCACTCTGCCCCCAACCTCTGGAATGTCATCCCGCAATCACTCTGCCTTGCCCCCTCCTTAGCCTCCTTCAAGTCCTGCCTCAAGACCCTCCTCTTCGACTATGTAATCGGCCACCCCCCTTCCCCTCCCCTCCCTTCTCCCCCTCTGACCCCAGCTCGGGTCTGAAATGCTGTACACTGTCCAGCGCCTTGGGACGTTCTCCCGACGTGAAAGGCGCTATACAAATGTAATCTTCTTCTTGTTGTTCACGTCGGGAGGATGTCCCATTTAACATGCCTTAAACACTGTTTAAGCAAAACTGTTATACATGTGTGATGAGCTTATTTAGGTCATAGCTCATGAATGATAGGAGATCCCCCCCCAGAAAATATGCCCATGACGCTCCCCCATGCAAGACCTCTCCGACGATGTATAAATCATATCTCTATGTCATGTCTTCTTGGCAGACAGATTCACAGACATTTCGTCTTTATTAGTATACTAGCTGTATCCATTGCAG